CAAAGTGATGTTTGAGTTCCCACAAGAGGCCTAGTCCAGTGGAATCAAATAAAATGAAATTCATTTTTTGTAATGCAACTTAAAAAAAAATCAGCATTAGCGCACTGAGATTTCAATGCTTTTTTTCTGATTTGAGTGGAAAGACTACATTCCATGCTGACTTCACAGATTCCTTTAGCTCTAGAGCAGTCTGGCATAAAGTATGAAAACCTCCTTTGCTTTTGGACAAGCAAAGAAAACCTTGGGCTAGAAGGAAGAATTGTCATAGTTGCTCCATCATAGCTTTGTAGTAGCTAAAACTTTAAAAAAATGGTTGAACTTCTTAAGCAATTCCTATAACCATTGACAAATCTAATCTAATTTAATATTATATTACTCCTTTATTTATTTGCCTGCTGTTCTTTATAGCCAACATGCTTCAATGAGCAATTGTGTGTAAATAAAATAAAAGATGTGAAATCTTCTATAGGGTCACCTTTCTATGACCTTGTTTCAAAACTTCTCTGGGCCCCTGGATGCTGTGGCCAGAGGAGATTCCACATTCTGAACAAATGAAGAAATACCTCTATTGTTTGTTTAGTAAAGTTACTTCTAAATGGCCTCATATAGATACATTATATGATATGGCAGTTCCTGCATGCAACATTATTTTTAGGATATTCATATTTATATAGTCTATTTCATGTTTAGATTAACCTTTATTTCTATTTACTTATTTATATTTTGCATTTCTAAACCATCTCCCTCAAAGAAGGATTTTTTTAAGCAGACCAAGTCCTTCCGCACAAAAGTGAACACCTTATCACTGCAGTCAGTTTATACTGATGCTTCGTTGCAACAACATTTAGCCTTTTAAGATTATTTCTATTGTTTTCTTTTTATTTTAAATGAAATATATTCTATATCGTCAAGCCATTCTGCAATGATAACCATACAGACATCAAGTTTGTTTATATCAACTGCCTTAATAAACCTGGTAAGCTGCTTTACTAAACTCTGCATACAAATTTAAAAAGCAAAACGTGATCTTCAAAATGCTTAAAATATGTATTTAAGTCTGTTTAGAAGAGATTTTTCAAAATTTGTCCAACCGACTGCTGAACACTGTTTGAACCACCTTTAATTTTGCTCCTATTAATTTGTCCTGTGCTCTTAGTAATTCCTTTCATTTTTGTGTCAAATAGTCTCCTTTCATTAGCATTCAAGGCACATATATGCCTGTGCTGACAAATACAGAAAAATAAATAAGATTATGGCTGACATTAATTTTTGAAAGCACCCAAAAACTTTTTCTATATAAAACTATTTTGCCATCTAAATGGTTTCTTCCCTAGAAATATTAAAATGTCCTTCCTTGTTTTCTTTATTCCTCTTGTTGGACCATGGTTGAGATTCTGTTATGTTGTTCACAAAAGAGCGGGAGGGAGGGAGGGAGGGAGGGAATGTGGGTGAAGCGCCCTCCTTTCAGGGGTGTCAAACCAGGATGAATCGGCCAAGGGAAGCATGTTTATAGACTGTGTAAAGAACTTTGTCTTTGTGTGGGAATGTTGGTGACACTGTTACTGTTTGCCTGAATGAACTGTGATGACGTGGCTAATAAGGTATCCCGCTGAGCACCAGGGCGGCCTTTCTCAGACCCCCCACTTCATTCTATTCAGCTCCAGCTCAGTGTAGCTAATTTTTCCCATTCCTTCAATTCTTTTGGCCCCCTTTCAAACAGAAAAGTCAACTTTTCACACCGAAGGCAAGATAAGTGCTTTAGGAAATAATCTTGTAAACAGAATGTTACCTTCTGACCTGCAGCTGATACCTTGACTTGGGACAAAAACCGCTGGCCTATTGCATTAGACATGGCTATTAAAGGAAGAATGCGGCTGATCCTTCTTACAAAGTGCCCTGAAAAATGGTTTAGCCAGATCATGTTCCTCTTGTCACATTTAATCATGCTCACCAACTCCCAACATGCACGCAAACCCAGGCTCTCAAAATCACTCATAGGTAACTTCTTCTTCTTCCCTTGCATCCCCATCTCCAGGCCATCTTATTAGAAAGAAATGTGGGAATAAATATTAAAATTCAGCTGCATAGCTCTTGTCATATTAACCATTTTGAATCTGTTTTAAATTTTCACTTTAAATAGAAAGAAATGCCTCAAAAGTGTCTTATAGCTTTTGAATTCGAATAACAGAAAGTTGCACTGAATTCGTAGTTTAGGGTTGAGATGCTAAATACATTGTCTGGGAAAGAACATTCTTTGGATACAGTATATTTATTTCAAAATAGACGTATAATTGACTGTAACAGATTTGCCCAAATATATTATTTCTGAGCATTTGTAAACATATATACATGATATGTTTCCTGTTAAATAAGCAAATCTTTATATATACTTTCATGGATTTTAAAGACGACTGTCATCAAACCCAATATTTAATTTAAAGGAAATTTTCCTATGAAAATCAACCTTGAACAATTGATAAATGTTGGAAACAATAGCCTATACAGGCAGTCCTTGGTTTGCAACCATAATTGAGCATGAAATTATGGGTATCAGTTGTTGCTCTCATAAATCAAGGTACCACATGACCAGACTGATATTTTTTTTGCACTTTTTGCAGCAACCAGTAAGTGAGGGGGGGTTCAGCAAATCCATTTTACTCAATAGATTGGGCGGGGGGTTGCCAGAAACTGGAAGTAAATGTTGGAAACAAGAAAAAAATCATGGTCAGTTTCTGCCGTTAAGTGAGATATTTACTAAGTGAGTTCTGCCCCAGTTTACGACCAGCTGTTAAGTAAATCATTGGAGTTGATAAGACAGTAACCCAGTTGTAAAGTGAAATCTGATTTCCCCGTTGACCTTGCTTATCAAAAGGTTGCAAAAGTTGATCACATGACCTTGGGACACAGCAACGGTCATAAGTATGAATCAGTTACCAAGCATCTGAATTTTGGTCACATGATTATGCGGATGCTGCAAAGGTCATAAGTGTGACAAATGGTTACGTCAGATTTTTCAATGCTGTTGTAACTTTGAACCGTCACTAAATGAACTATTGAAAGTTGAGGACTCCCTGTAGTCCAATCAGTCAGTCTAGCTTCAGGCTAGAACTCTCCCCTTCTTCCCAATTGTTTCAGGTTCTGGACACCACTCCAGTCCTAACGCTTAAATTACAGCCGGAAG